GGAACTTATGCACGCTAGGCATGCATTCTATCTCCTAATTTTAGCCTCTTAATTCTGTACATATTTAGGCCCTTGTCCATCAACTCTCTATATTAAAAAACCCCGAGTTATGCTTATATAAGCATTGAAGATATAAAGCAGTGTTTACAAATGTATCAATATATTACTTTTTTTTGCCATCTAAATTTCCATTAGTGTTTTTTTCCTTAAAGAATTACAACATTAAAGTCTGCTGGGATTGCACTTTTTTTACTTTTTAATTTTTATCTAGTGAGTCTGGAAATTTCTATGAGGTTTTCTTAGTTGGATTTTATATATTTGTTTGCACCTAGTTAACAATTTAACTTTTTTTCCCCAAAAATAATCCATCATATTCAAATTAGGTACTCTATTTTTATTTTTTGCTTTTTGAATTCAAAACATTGAAAACTACTGCTTCCAAATACTAAAATCTGTGGGTCACAGTATAATGAAATATAGGAAGATTTACATGGTCTCAAGGTATTTCTTTAGTAAGATAATTAATAATCACAGAGGAAAAAAATAGTTAATTTTACAATGAGGAAACTGGCAGTACTTTTGCTAATTTACAATACTCAGATTTCAATAGCTGTGACACTCCTGTCCCTTTTCCGACCCAGCTTCAGATCTAGGATCACACAGTGTGCTTTGTTTCCAATCTTCCAAAAGACAGTTCCTCAGTCTGTCTTTTTTTTTTGGTACTGGGGATTTTGGTATTTGCTAAATTGTTTTGGGTCTCGATAAATTGCTGAGGCTGGCTTTGAACTCGTGATCCTCCTGCCATGTCCTCTGGGATTACAGGTATGCTCCACTGTGCCCAGCAATTATTTCATATTTTGAGTGATACAGCACATAAATTCCTCTCCTTAAGGAAAAGTGTTATAAATATCCCAATTTTTGTATTTTGATACTTTTCAAGTACACTTTTCAACTTCTATCTTTGCAGTGTTCTGTCCTACATATACTTGTATACCAAAATGCATTTTTTTTAATTGAAACTGTCCAGGTAGGATTTCAACAAATCCTGATTTCATGGTTTGCTGACAAATTAAATATTTATTTATTTCAGTATTAGGGGAAGCTACGAAAAACACCAGTGGGAATAAGATACTAAGAACTTACCATTTGTTGCTCTAAGAACTGCATAATCAATTTATAAATAAATCTACTACCACTTTTAGCTACCTGTTTGTAAAGTTTCTGTAGACGAGGGAGGACGAAAAGGGAAATAGGACACTAGAAGGTACTTAATAATTATTTTGTCAAGAATAAATTATTGCATTTCCAGGTTTCTAGTTATTTAATATTTTAATTTTTGAAGAATTATGCATTGATTGCCAGTATATATACATTTTCTAAAGCCAGCTAGCAATTATATTTTGGCAGTAATATGACTGACAATTTATTAAGAAACTATGAATAAGAACTGTGGAAAACCAACTAGTCTTCTCTATAATGAAAAGAAGAAAGAATGTAACTTGGGATCTGAATGTTCTAAAATTGTTAAGTACCAATATAAAGTGATAATGGGAAGTCAGGGCTATAGCGCTTGCTCTAAATACCATCTCATGCTATGATATTCAGAATTCATGCATAGTTGGATTTACCTGATGCCACAGAATTTTACTGGAACTAACGCAAAAAATTATTACCTATAGAAAGGATATGAGAAAGACCTTTGTCTCATAGGGAGTGCCTTTGTCTTAAGTAATATGTATTCCTCGGAGCAAGGAGTTGAGACTTAATTTAAGAGAAGTGTCATCTGATGACTGATTCAAAGACTGGTATTTCTGCTATTCAAACAGTCTTTGGGTATTATAAGAAGTTATTTACTTGCATTTCTAATTTTTATCTATCGCAAAACTCTTTTTTTTAAGTACGGATGATTAACTTCAAAAATTACTGTTTCATTCAGATTATTTGATTCATTATAAGACAAGATGTGTTTTGAAAAGAAAATAATATACCACCATCCTATGTCAATCAATTTGCCTTCTCAGAGACAGCTAAATTCTTATTTCTTTTGGTTTTAAAAATCTGTTTTCCATCTTGTTTCTATCTATATCTGCTAATATTTAGGTAGTGTACTTGCAGCTAAGTGCAATTTTAGTCTCCTAAGAATACAAAACCTCCTAAATGTATCATTAGGAGATTAATTTGTATTATATAGTATCACATTAGATTTAGGGGGAAAAAGGTGGCTTTTCTCTTAAAATTTGCTTTATCAAAATTTTATAGTAAAGCACACTTTTATCACAGCACTTCAGTTTTTAAAATAATTATGAATAAATAATAAAATAGCAAGAAGACTTCTATAGTGATTACTACATGCCATATACTATTCCAAGCACTGTACATCTATTATTGCATTTAATATTTAAAACAATCCTGTGAAACAGGAACTTTTTTGACTCATTATAATCTGGAGAAAACCCAGGAACAGAAAGGTTAAGAAACCTATCTGAGATCAGACAACTAAGTATTAGAATTGGAAATGGAACTGCAATAGTCTGGCTTCAGGGGCTGTACTCTCAACTCAAGTTACCTTGCTACACTGCCCAAAGGTGTCAATGGCTTCACTGGGCTAACCAGCAGTTCAGTTTGACCTGCATGTGTTCAGATGCTGAGCACAGACTACGTATGCTGTTACTGACTGATATGGTGAGTAAGGAGTCATATTTCTTATCTTCAGAAACACATTAATTTGGGAAGAACTACCATAATTAAGCCCAGTGCTTTTGATTCCATGTTTAATCAAAACACTCTCAAGGTATCACTTATAGCCTGTCTGGATGGAAAGAAACATGCCACTGAAGCCAGTACAAGCAGTTGCCTAATAGTTCCCTTCCATTTTGAGTTACTTACTTGGTTTCTGGATTGCATTCTTTGGATCTGTGAGTTGTAAGAATCAGTATTTCTGAGCCTCATGAACTTGAGAACACTGATAATAACTTTATACTAATGCCTGAGAACAGTAAGGAGGCTAAAACTAAATGATATAAACTCTCTATAAATGTAAAGGTTTATTTAAACAAAACATATATTTTTTAACTTTATTTTGTTTATTTATTTTTTAATGTGGTGCTGAGGATCGAATCTAGAGTCTCACACGTTAGGCAAGTGCTCTACCACTGAGCCACAACCACAGCCCTAAATAAAACTAAATATTTACACTTATTTAAAACAAGTATCCTGCTATTCGAAACTCTTTCAATATCTTCAAGGTAAATCATTACTTTTGATTCATTTTTGGTCAAGTAAGGATGGTGAATGGTGTTCAGGCATTCAAGTTAGTACTCACATAAACTCTTTAATTCAAAACTTGTAATTCCATAAAGCGTCATTAATTTTGGATAAATTACATATGCTACTTTTCATAAGCCTAAAACTTAAACAAGTTGCTTTATAAAAATTGGTACAATGGTGAACTTTCTTGAATACACATTCTCTTAAATCCAAAGAGAAAATAACATTGTTCTTTGATCAGACCATAAAATCTGCATAAAAATTTGAAAAGGGAAGGGTAAATTAGGTTTTCTTTTGGGAATTAATGCTGTTTGCTTAAGTCCTTTGCTACCATTGTTGTAATACAACAATGTAATATTATTCTTTTAAGCTTAAAGATGCTAATTCTTTAAGAATTTTTTTGAAAATTCTATATATTATGGCTAGAACTATTAGACAAATATCCATAACACATGCTTCCTTTCCTTTCCTTTCTTTCACTATTTTTCTTTTTCTTTTTTTGTGCTTCTAGGGCTCAAACTCAGGTCCTCATACATGCTAGGCAAGCGTTCTACCACTGAGCATTCTACCACTGAGCCCACATGATTACTTTTCAAACACCAAATTATTAAATTTATACACATTAAAAACATTTACTTTCCAACATCCAAATCCTAGTATTATAAGTTGAGAACTATGCTTAAGATTTGGAATGGTTAAAGCAACAGAAGCCTGAAGATGCAAGAAAAAATAATCCTCATCAATGATGATTTTTAAAAATTGGTTTACTTTTCAAGTATGATTACTTTGAGAAGATAGAATGAAACTGCTTTTCAAGTATGTATAAAGTAAATAAAGAATAAGAATGGCAGTAAAAGTTCAAATGAAATTAAGCTTAACTGTAGCTTTTCCCTTCCTAATTTCAGTGGGAAAGAAATGAAATCTTAACAGAAATTAGAAACTATGGTTCATATTTTTCACTCTAATAATACAACTGTTACATGAAATAGCATTTTAAAATACTTTTTTTCTTATTTCATTAAGAAAGCAAAAATCTAATAAAAATAGAATTTTCATGATAAATTATAATTTATTATACTTTTTCTAAATAAATGATTTTTAATTCTACTCAAAATATTCAGAAAATATGCAGTTAGAGAATATTATAAAATATAAATTATAAAAAGGACTTTATAAAAATACAATCTAAAAAAGTTTTAAAAATTCACTGGTTGTATTGAATCTAAAAAGGAGATTTCTGAATATTAGTAATCTATACCACTAAATATTATGGTATACATACGATAGTAATGTATTAAACATGCAATGTTTTAATTAATAAAAATCTCAAAAGTGATAGCAAAAGCTTTAATATCACCTGAATATTATAAAAAGTAAACATGACTATTATATGAAGAAAAAATGAAAATAATTTGAGGTTTGTATATTACTCTTCCAATTATGGAATGTTAAATGTTCATCATCAGACAAATGTTACAAAATATAGAGCATGAACTTTTCCACATAATCTAATAAAACAGATATATAATTCCAAAAAAGGGGAGTATTTTTTAACATTTCATTTATCAGTTTCATATTTCAGTGTCCAAGTCAGCTTTAATTATGAATATTTATAAGATTTCTCTATTCTCCACAAGCTGAAATTAAAATATTTTATAAAAATATATTTTCCTTTTAATATTTATATAAACTATTGTATAGCACAACAAAAGTTAAGGTGGCACAACTAATACCTGTAATGTGTGTTTCCCACAATTGACTTTCCTTCTCTCCACTGAGCAGTCACATCAGTGGGATCAAGTAAGCCTTCAAAAATATGCTCCCAAAGATACAAACCTGACAAGTAAAAATAAATAAATAAACATAAAACATTAACTCTCTTGTATACTCTAGTGTGTAAGAAAAGTTTATGTTCTGTTCCTTTGTATCTTTGACTATGAAACTAGAATCTTCCCCTTTTGGTTGGTTGGCAGGCAGTTCTACCACCAAGCAAATGCCCACAATTGTGTATGTGGCAACTAATGTATGACAGAGACAACTCAAGCTGTGAGTGTAAAATGTGGCTAACTGTGGGTCATATGAAAGACAATAACCTCCCTTTCTCTAGATTTGAGAAACCCTTAGTATCACTGGATCCCAATTACTCATCGTATTTTGAAATGTAAAAGTAATCACTATATGATTAGAACTGCTTTTTATGTTATAATAAACTGGAGGAATTAAACTATTTTGTTCCAGACACAACCAGAGGAGCTCATAGAAATATATACACAATTAAATAAGTCAAGAGGATTTTACCTCCTCTTCACTTGAACACACTTCCCTGACTGCATGATGCCCCTTGCAGACAAATACCACTTCATCTTTGTCCTTAGGGTAGTCCCTGAAGTTTTATCATGATTTCATCTGAATGAAAGCTTTAAAAGTAAAAGAGAATAGCATCACACAATAAGGTAATGTGGAGACCTCACAACAACTTTAGGAACCTTGTTTTAATTATGCTGAAAGATGTGTTTTTTCCCATTTTCATTACACTCTGTCTCACTAAAGAACACCCAAACAACCAAAGCCTGTAAGTGTTGGCAAGGATGTGAGGAAAAAGGTTCACTCATACATTGCTAGTGGGTCTGCAAATTGGTATCACCACTATGGAAAGGAGTATGGAGATTCCCCAGAAAACTTAGAATGGAACCACCATTTGACTCAGTTATCCCACTCCTTGGTATATATATACCCCAAAGACTTTAATTCAGCAAAATCAGCATACTACATGAAGCAGCCACATCAATGCTTATAGCAGCTCAACTCCGGTCAGAGTCATGTGGAGCTAAAAGTCAAGGGATGTGGGTAGTGTCTAGAAACTGTGAAAGGGAGGGAAACAGATTTTCATCCAGAACCTCCAAAAGTAACACAGCTTCACACAGTAAAAATATGTTAAGAGATACAGTTAATTAAAACTGTAATAGGGATGTGGAGATTTAATGGAAGAAATCAATACTAGAATGTTTTTTTAATTGTTAGATATTGATTGATTTATAGGCCTACATCTGGGTGTCTAAAATTTAGAGGTCAGTAGTGATCTTTGAGGATGTATACTTGTATGTAGGCATAAAGAACTTATGAAACACAATGAAATAGGCACTGTTCACTTTCCTCTTGTTTGGTACTTTCTACTTTCTAAATCCATATCCTTTATCATAATAAATCCAATTCATATTCAAAGGCCAAATAAAGCCCCTTCTTTTCATTAAATCCTTTCTAACTCTTATAGTCATCACTGAGGGCTTTGTTTTCTAATTGAGCATAACATGTATCCTGGGGCACTAGACTCTTATGATACACAGAGCAAAAATATTCTTTAATATAAGAATTGTACATACGTACAATAATTCAGGATGTAGTGTTCACCTGTTTAGGATACTATGGTGCAAAATTCTGAATAAAAGGAGAGATACTGCTGAGTTGGATCCTAATACAATTAAACTTGAGCAATCAAGTTTAATCAGTTACATACTATATCCCCTTGTTGGACATTTACAATGAAGAGTGTCATATTGAAAGCTCTGAAAATCTTGAAATGAAGAACCTAATTTAACTTTGTTCTGTTCAGTGTTTTCCAAACTTGTTTGGCTATTAGGGCATGGAACACATCTGAGATTTTATATATATATATTATATATTGTGTGTGTATGGATACATAAAATGTACATGTATATAGTTGTATATTAAGTGTCCAATAAATAAAATACACAGATTCATGAGAATTCAGGCTGACATTACATTTCAATATAATGGTGCTATATAATCTGCTCTTTGCATCTACAAATGAAGGTGTGTTCTGCTAAGGACCAATGATGAAAGTGCATGCGTGTGTATTTGTGCATGTTTATACAGATGTTATCTAATTGCAAGGAGAATATTGACAAAATGAAAGAAATATATGCTCCCTTAAAGAACAATGATGAAATAAATTATATTAAAGTGAATTTAATATCAGAAATGTGCATTTATAATGCTTTTATTTTGGTACTGAGATTGAACCTATGTCCACTTTACATCCCCAGTCTTTTTTAAAAATTTAAGACAGGGTCTTGCTAAGATGCTGAAGCTGGCCTTGAACTTGTGATCCTCCTGCCTCAGCCTACTGAGTTGCTGGGATTACAGGTGTGTGCCACCACAACTGGATTTATAATGCTTTTTATATGTCTTTGCTCTATATGTTGACTTACCAATGGCAGCTTTGCCCCAGATTTGTATACTGTGGTCTGTTTTTCCCTTCGGTTTATTTAATATTTGAAGACTAGTTTTAACTCTGTGTTGTTGCTCATTTTTTTCATCTTCTTCCCAAGGATTCCATTCTTCACTTCCCAAAGTAGACTGTTCTGTTTTAAAAAGAGTAATAGTGTTTAACAGTAAGGTATAACTAAAGTTGTAGATAAATTCAAATTTTATAAATCAGATATTAGAGAGTTTTAATTTCATTCTAAATTCAATTTTTCGGAGAGATGACGCAACTGAAATTGAACTGGTTAAACACATTTTAAAAAAAAGTAATCAGCAACTTAATGAACCATTGATCTGAAAGATTTTAGAAATAAAATGCTAATGTAAGACAACCATATCCTCCAAAACAAAACCTTTAAAAATAATGGAATACTGTGTATCAATTTACATGTTTAACTTTCCCAATTCTTTAATATAAGGATTGCACATACGTAACTATATGAATAATTCAGGATGTAGTGTTCACCTGTTTAGGATACTATGGTGCAAAATTCTGAATAAAAGGAGAGATACTGCTGAGTTGGATCCTAATACAATTAACAATACAGGACAGGGGACAGAATTTGTAGGTAAGTGCAGTCACCGTCCAAAGTCACTGCATGATTAGAGAAGACTCCTTCAATAAGGACATTGATGTCTTAGACCCACTGGCCCTCTTGCAGCATTCCCGCAAATCCTGGCAGTTGAGTTCGTCTTGGATATTATTTAATATGTTTTTAAAGGGAGTCCGCGCCTTTCAGCCTCGTGGTGGGGAGTAGGGACGGCCAGCGATCTTCGGACAAAGATAAGGGGGCGGCAGGAGGAAAAGCGCATGCTGGGCCCCGGAAGGAATCCCGGGCCTGCGGGCAGGGAACTCCGCAGCCCCGCAGCCCTGCTACCTGGCGCGCGGCGGGAGACAGGGCTCTGCCTCAGTCCTACCTCGGCCGCGCCTCTCCCGCGCTGGAGCCGCCCCCTTCCTGAAGCCCCGAGAGGTCGCAGTCGGCACCCGGCTGCGGTGCCCGAAGAAGACGAGGTAGGCGGCGTAGAGCGAGAAGAGGCAGTACAGGGCGATGATAAACGAGCAGAACCGCTTCCGCGTCAGCCTCATCCCACTCAGTCTTCGGGTCAGGCCGCCGCGGCCACAGAGCCGCGCGAGGAGAGAAGCCAAAACGCCTAGCCACGGCCCTGGCAGCGCCAGGAGCAGGCCCAGGCCTGGCAGCCGGGAGTCACCGGAATAATCCCTAGCTGCGGGTCCTCAGCCCCGCCCAGGCCCCGCTTCCTGGGCAGTCACGAAACAGGCCCCGCCCTAGTCCCCGCCCACGACTCTGGCCCCGCCCACCTCCTGGTCTCGTACTCCTCAGGGCTGTGGAGAATCTGCTTGTCTTAGAATCTAGAATCCTGGATTGAAGGGAGCGCTCCTCAAGGCGCTGCTTCGGTAAGTGGGGCCGGGTGGAAGCCTCGAGCAACTTCAGTGTTGCACTCACTTCATCTTTCATCCTTGGCCATTTGTACGTAAAGACTTCGGAAAACAGCAGCACCTGCCAGGGTCCGTGGAGGCCACATGTCATTTTTTGTTCAACACAAAATTCCTAGCACCTAGGGACAGTTATGCTGGTAGATGAGTAAATATAAATATATTTTTAGAATAAGTAAATGATGATGGTTGCACAGTATCCTGAATGTAATGAATGGCACTCAGTTGTATGTTTGGAAATGGTTCAAATGGCAAACTTTGTTTATGTACACCCTACCAAATTAAAACATTTTAAACTTTATTACTATGAAACGAGTTGAATGTACTACAGGGATGCAAATAGAAGCTGTGAAATGAAATATTGTCAATAAACTTTCTAAGACAAACCTTGAAAGTTGGGCTACAATTTCTTTTCAGTTGTGTCTGGTTCAAATGTCTAGCAGAATTGGCAGACAGAAAACTTGTAGGTCAGAAGTATAGAGTTATGCACTAACTGGTTCAGCTTTCTACTGTGATGCATAGTCCTGTTAACATTTCTGAACAGGTTTCTATCTCCTCCTTTAGCAAAAACTTACCTTTCCTGACTATTATGCTCTTGAGTCAGGTTCTTTGACTTCCATGTGACAACTAGATAATTGATAGAGAATTCTATGGAGGGAAATTTAGGTCTAAATTTATATCAGCATCACCACAGGTGATGTGACAGGTGAGATGAAGTGACAGGCCAAAAGTGCTTACTTCCTTCAGGACTCAACTGGGACTAGAATTCCTTGGTCTACTCTCATTTCTGTATTCTTGCCATTGAGTAGTAATGTCTGACTTCATCTAGCTTTATTGAATTTAATCATGTCTTTTTTTTTTTTTTTTTTTTTTTTACTGGGGATTGAACCCAGGGCACTTAACCACTGAGCCACATCCCCAGCCCTTTTTATGTTTTATTTGAGATTGCTAAGTTGCTGAGGCTGTCTTTGAACTTAAATCCTGTCTAGTCACACATCTTAGTTTTCTGATTTGACAATGAATATTGTTTCTTCTTCCAAATTAAATCTATTGTCAAAGGGCGAAACCATGCTGTTAAGGATATTAAAGCAATGTAGAACAGTTCTGAAGGCAGTTCCAAAGGAATCCCCCAAAGTGTTTTTGCACAACCTATGGAATAACCACATATATTTGTTAAAGACTGTCGAAATCCTAACCTCTAAGGTGATGATATTAGGAAGGGGGATCTTTGGGAGGTTATTATGTTATAAGGATGAAACCATCACAAATAGGAGTAGTGTCCTAATTAAAAAATAAAATCCCAGAGAACTCTCTTGCCTTACCCAAACTAATTTATATCAAGACTTATACTCTGATCTAGGTATATCTATTGAGAACTGAGACCATTATATTCATATACCTTATGTATAAGGAATGGGAAATCAAGCCAAATATAAAGATGTTACTTTTCTACTTGTTTTAGTAATTCATGTCCAGGAATAAGGCCATAAACTAATAACTAAATTCATTATTTTAGAAAATTGCTGCAAACTATTCTGAACAGTTTGTTCTGGGAAAATGGCTGTTATATCTGAAACAGATAGTTCCCTCTGGGAAAATATGCCACTTATTAAAGGAAAATTTAGTTATCATACTTGCAATGGTGGCCAATTGTCCTTGGCCTGAATTAGTACCCTGGATGTAGGACTTATACTCTTAAAACTGGGAAAGTCCCAGGTAAACTAAGACAAGTTGGTCACACTACCACATCCCTAACCTATTATGTTATAAACTTTGCTCAATTCCCAGAATAGTTCACTGCTTTGAAAACCCTTCTTTAAGCCATTTTTACTCAGGTTCCTGAGTCCTACAAATACCAACCTGTATCCCTTTCCTTCTGAGACTATCAAACTTTTGTCAAAGGATTGTTCTTCCTTATTGTGGAAGATTTAATAAATTTGATCAGTAAGTTATTCCAATGATCTCTTGGGGGAGATGGTGCTTGATTTATGTATACAGTTGTTTGACCTATCTTTTCTGTGGAAATGACAATTACAGCCATATGCTGCATAATGATGATTCCATCAGTGACAGATGGCATGTATGACAATGATCCTATAAGAGTGTAATGGAGCTGAAAAATTCCTATTGCCTAGGGATGTAAGAGCACAACATCATTACTAAATGTGTAATTCACACATATGTGGTGATGCTGGTATGAACAAACCCACTACACTGCCAGTCACATAAAAGCATAGCACATACAATTATGCATAGCATGAAACACTCAATAATTATAATAAGCAAGTGCGTTATTGGCTTATGTATTTACTATGCTATACTTTGTAATCATATTTTGTATTTTGTGGTGCTGGGGATGGAATCCGGGGCCTTGCTTGTGCTGGGCAAGCACTCTACCATTGAGCTGCACCTGTAGCCCTACTGTTACTACAGAGTGCACTCCTACTTAAAAAAAAAAATAGTATACTGTTAAACAGGAGGTCATGTTATATTATCTGTAGTGCACACATCTCATGTTCACTAAGCCTCTTGACTGTATCAAGAGGCCATGTAGCGTGATTGATCTGTATCATCTAGGTCTATATAAGTTTGCTCTATGATGTTAGCACAATGACAAGACCACCTAGTAAAATATCTGAGATAAAACTAACATTAAGGTGATGTTATATTGAGTAGAGAAAGAAACACAGAAATGAAGGTGTTTATTCTACTTCAAACCGCAAATGATTGCACAATTTGATGATGTTTTATTTATTTATTTTTTTGGCATCCAGGATTGAACCCAGGGGCACTCAACCACTGAGCCACATCCCCAGCCCTTTTTAGTTTTTATTTTGGGACAGGATCTTGCAAAGTTATTGAGGGCCTTGCTAAATTGCTGAAACTGCTCAAATTAGCCTCCTAAACTGCTGGATTACAGACTTGCACCACTGCATGCCTGTATTGTGTATTTAGGTTATTTAGGAAGCTATGGGTTGATCTCAATCCAGCAGTGTTTATTTTCCTTTCTCTTGGTTTTTAGTGGTTGATTTTGCCCTGAGAGCAGCTTTCTGAATATTGTTCTAATGTTCTTTGGTTGGTGTGGGTGAACAGAGAGAGAAAAGAAAGAGAAAGAGAAGTGGTGGGAAATACCACAAATCAAGGAACATGAGATGAATTAAATTAAAATAGGGACAAAGTTTTCATGTGGTGAAAATCTATTCAAAAGGTGAGAACTCTTAATTAACAAGATGCTAATAAAATCGTACTAAGGCTTTGATGCTTTTTGCTAATTGATTGTGAAATGTATATATTAGGGGGCTGGGAATGTGGCTCAAGCAGTAGAGCGCTTGCCTGGCATGCGTGCGGCCCCGGTTCGATCCTCAGCACCACATACAAACAAAGATGTTGTGTCCGCCAAAAAAATAAACTAAAAAAAAAAAAAATAAATATTAAAAATTCTCTCTCTCTCTTTAAAAAAAAAAAAAGAAATGTATATATTAGATGTCCACAATTACAAAATTCTTGAGACACCTGACCAAAATTTCCTCTTAGTTTACTGAGGTTCTGGGAATATTTAAAAAGTATATTAAATACTTTTGAGAGATTTTTTTCATAGCTTGGCCAAGCCTTTGTTTCAAACCCTTCATAAGATATTTCTAGCAGGGCTTAACTATATAACAATTAATGTCATTAACTACAACTCTTAATATTATGATACAATGAGTCTTTGTGCATGGTTCCTGATTTATAATTCCCATAGTGCCCCTTGTTATTTTGTATATGACTAGAACATAAGCATGTCTTTGTTGTAAGGTTGGAACATTTTTGTCCCTTGAAGCAGCCTCAGACAGCAAAATCTGTCTTTGAATTTCTCCTTACCTCCTTTTACTTGCTCCCCCACCCAAGGCAGCTCATAAAAACCAGAATTTCTCTTCCCAAATATGAGTCATAGGAACTCTAACATTCCCCTACCTTTCTGTCTCAGAGATGGCCCCTAAAGAAATTTTCTTATTGCCTTATCTGAGAGTAGATCATAAGACCCTTATTTCAGAAGAATAATTGGTCCATGCTCAGGAGGAATGTACGATGCACAGAAAGGTCAAAAGGAATTCTAGTGGACAGGCCTTGCTTTATTCTGTAAGCATTAGACTATATTCTTTGTCCAATCATATTTCTACATAGTTGTCTATGCTCCAATCATATCTATGCAATAAAGTCTCTATAAAACCTCCAAAGGACAGCGTTCTGGGAGAGCTTCTGGATAGCTGCACATATTACAGGGAGGTGAACAAGAACTCACTCTCAGGCTGGGAGGGGGATGCACCCCATCTCCAAGGAGATGGAAGCTCCGGGGCTTGGGACCCTTCTTGATCTTGTCTTATGTATCTTTTTTTTAATATACATTTATTTTGTTTATTTAGTTTTTATGTGGTGCTGGAGATTGAACCCAGGGCCTCAACATTATGTATCTCTTCATCTGAATGTTTATCTGTATCTTTAAAACATCCTTTATAGTAAACCAGTAACTGTAAGTAGAATGGTTGCCTGAGTTCTGTAAGTTACTCTAGCAAATCAATTGAACTTGAAAGGGGGCGTGGTCTTGGGAACCCCAGTTTGCAGTAGGTTGGTCAGCAGTTTCAGAGCTTGATACTTCTGACTGGGTCTGAAATGGAGGTAGTCTTGGGGACTGACTCCTCAACTTCTGAGACTTGATATTATCTCCAGGTAGATAGTGTCAGAACCTAGTTAGAGGATGCCCAGCTGGTGTCCACTGCAAAATTACTTGCTTGCTGGTG